GGGTTTATTCTTACACTTAGAAGATGTTTTATTACTACTAGATACAGCTGAGGAAACAGAAGAAGCAGGTGAGGGTGATCTGGAAAAATTACCTCTCATTCTACAGTATTTTTGAATATGACCTGGACGGCCACATTTATAACACTTGAGCCCTTTAATCTGCTTAAATTTGGGTTCACAGTGAGTACTTTGAACTTCTATAGTCTTATTGGAGTTTTCCCTATCTATCTCTCTTAAATTAAGACGCGTTTCCTCTGCTAGAATTTCAAGTTCAACATTTTTAAAAATGAACTTTTTCATCTGGCCACCTCAAAATATTCTGAACTACTTGATCAAATTTATCTGGAAGGAACCTAAGAAACTGGAAACATATATATACGTCTCTTACAGCCTGATTAATATCAGCTAACTGTTCAGTTACGCGTTTTAATCTAGAAGAAAAGAAACTAATACTTTCATTTGGCTTAATTTTACAATTTAAGAACTCTGAAAACAGGGACATATGTCTTGACCGATAATCTGGCTGGAAGTATTTGGCAAGCGTATTCCATGCCACTACCGGGTCATCAATTTCACATATCAAGTTTCTATATTCAGGGCTTACATTCATATAAATTAACGATAATGCCAATCGACTTCTATTTTGATAGTCGGCAATAATTTCTTTTGTAATACCCTTAACATCATTTAAATCAGGACATTTTTCAATACCTTTGACCAAAAGCCATGCATTTTTTTCATTCAAGACAAACTTCATATCTTTGGACCATGTAAAATAATTACATGCATCAAGTTTAGCAATATTATGCATGACACTAACAGTAGCCATATTTGAATTTTAACAAAAAAAACCGCCCCCCAATCTCTTAAGTCCTAAATTAACTTTAAACTTCAAAAGTCTGCACTAAAAATAACTCAGGAGCTGGTGGCCCATAACCAGAATGATGCTAAAGCAAAGTTTAAAGTTTAAAGAAATTAAACATTTAGCAGTAGTAGCAATAAAAGCTCCCCGAGATATGTTGTGCAGACATTGAAGACAATAAAAGATTTTGAACTTAACCAATTTATTAACATACTACATAAATTTCCAGTTAACTATGAAGTGATTTTGCTTGCTAAAGTTGCTGATGTTTCTGCTCTAGGAAATGCAGCTTTTTCTGATATAAGGTACTTTTTGAACAGATTTCCTGTGTTACTCCATTTAGTCATGAAAGACGATGATATTGTGTTGCCACTGATATATTGCAGACACAGTTTTGCAGTTTACAATTAGAAGACTTGGATGATGTTATAAAATCAGTTAGGATTGATACCCAGTGGAGTTTAATTGGAAAATTGAAAGGTGTTGATGGAATTTTTAAATATAGTGAGCTGTCTAGAATTATGTTGGCCATCTTGACAGTTCTCCATAGTAATACAGAGTGTGAGAGGATTTTCAGCCTTGTTGTGAAAACGAGGACTAAATTTAGATCTAATATTAGTGATGACACATTAGAAAAACTTTTATTAGCAAAAGCAGGCCTATGTGGCAATTGCTATGAACAAAATTATGAAGTTTCTTTCTTAACGAAAACAAAATCTGCCACTGTTTATAACATTTGTATGAAAATTGATTAAAGTGTCTTTTTTTTTTTTTTTTTTTTTTTTTTTTTGTTTGTTTGTTTGTTTGGTTTTTCTTAAACGATGCAAGTAATGAAAAGGTTTTTTATGTGTAAGGTATTTTTGTGTTGCTTGCATTTAAGAATTAGTAAATATTTAAAGTTAATTCATTATTAAAAACTATATTTTTATCATTTAAAAAGTCTTTTTAACATTGTGAAAAATCTCCTGATTTCTTAAAAAAATCTGATTTTTGAGTGTCATAGGTTGACAAGTATGTCTTCTATAAAATTTGACAAATTGTGACAAAGTAGATGTGATAATACATAGGTACCTGCAAGTTTGAGTTTTATGTTTATTCATTATTTGATGACACCTCTAGCAAAGATGGCAATACTTGAGCAGAAAACTTGAAGATTTAAAAGTAAATCACCAAGAGAAAATAACAATTTTCTGTTGTATAAACAGTGTGAAACCACTGGTTATTTGTGTAAAGGAAAGCATACTGCATGACTATAAATGTTTTGCAAAGAATGTGAAATGCTTCAGAGAAGCTTTCCTGCCTAGTCCTGAAAATTCTGTTACGGAAGTCGGCGGTGAAATAGCAATGGCAATGAGGATGGTGATGTGGACTCTTTTATAGAAATGTCTACATGTGCATGTGTAACATTTACAGCTGTTGTAGGCTTAAAAGCTGTTGTACGCATGGGCAAAAGCCAGCTCTTTTAATTTGTTTATCCAGCCCATTATGAAATTTATTCAATAATATTTTCATCTCTTTCCTACCTGATTTCATATGCAAACTACCGAAATCAACAGCATGTGTGCACATATATATGCATGGCTATATTAGCTCTGAACCTATGCTGAAAATGCTAGATATGTTAGAAAGCATGTGCATCCATCAAAGAATATCCTTCTATTATTTTTTGCAGCTTTAATTTAGAAATTAAACAATGATATATGAATATTGTTGAGATAAACTGATCAGAAAAGGAAGCTTAACGAAAGAACATTTCACCTCTAATATTTTAAAAATGAAACAGTATACATGTAAATCATTTGATGAAGCTACAAATTGCTAGTAACCCAACATACTCCTTGTCTGTAATAAAATACCTGAAGTTAATCTTTACCTGAAGTATGGAAAGTAATTACCATGGGACATTTCTGCTCAACTCGAGCTTCATTGTACACCTAGGGAAATCTTTTGCTAATTAAATATGCCAACTGCAGCAAACAATTGCCAAATATTTACACGCATTAAAGAAATTGGGCATTTGCAAAAGGCTACTGTGTATGGATAATTTGAAAAATGGGAAGAAAAGCTGCAGTTCGATTGTCATTAGATTGATGCAAAATATTGTAGCTTTGTGTGTATCTCAGTAAGAGCTGTAGTAACAAAGTTGTGGAACTGAAGGAGTGTGTGGTGTGCTTTGAGCTATAGAACTTTAAATTTTGTATGTGTGTACTTGAGTTTGCCGAACTCTAATGAACTGCATATTTTTCTTGGGTAAGTTTTAAGAATTAATTATAGGCATTGAAATGAGTCAGCACAAAAGAGGAAAATTCGATTTGGAATGCCAAAATTTTAATAATGCATGAGTAGCAGTATAGTATTTATTTATAAATATAAATAATAAAGAACTTTGTTTAGTTTACCAAGAGATAATTACTGTATTCACAGAATACAATTTAAAGAGGCATTTTTAATCAAAAATTTGAAATGTAAATCAGTTACATCAAAGAAATTTCAAAATACTACAGGGAATTAAAAAATAAATAAATAAATAAAAAATAAAACTTGCAAGAGAAACAAAACAAAATATCTTCATAAAACTAAACAATATAAAAAAGCAGCCATAAAAACCTAGTTATGTTATTGCACATAATGTTGTTAAGTTGTGTAAATCATTTGTGGAAGCAGAGTTTCTCAAGGAAGGCTTGGTAAAAGTTTTGAAAACACGTGCCCTGAGAATAAACAAATATTTGAATATGTAAGCCTTATGGAAATAACAGTAGTATAGTGGATAGAACATATTTTACAGAATTTATTTGATCAGTTAAGAACAAAAATATTTTTTTTTTTTGTTGTTGTTTTCCTGCTTGATTCCTGTAATGTAACTGACACAAACCAATTATTAATATTTATTCATGGCATAGACAGGAATTTTGAAATTGGCAAGGAACTGGGTACCATACATTCAACGAAAGATATGACTACCGGAGAAGATTTTCTATGGCTGTTGAGGAGTATCTTATTAGATTTCAGTTAACTTGAAACAAAGGTGTAAGCATAACCACAGATGGCTGTCCTAGTTTAACAGGAAAAAATGTGGGCTTATTAAAAAGAATCAGTGATACATTAAAAGAGATGCAGCCACAACGGGAAGTAATTTTTCTGATATGCCTCTTTCATCAAGAAGTGCTTTGTAAAAATTTTTAAGACTAGGTCATGTCATTAATTGTATAATGAAAGTAGTGAATTTATCGCGGAGCACTATAAATAGTATTTGTTTTTAATGAATTTCTGTAAACTGCATGATTTCAATGTTAATCCATGTCATATGATTCTTGCATAACTACTGATGCAGATGATTTTTCAAATTGAAATTTAAACAAACAATCAAATTGAAGTGAAAACCAATTTTTACTGAACTATCAATTTAAATACGCGGCATTTTCTCTCCTTCGCTAATAGCATCTTCTAGCTGCTGCTTTCTTCAAATGTAATTTAAAATTCTCTATGGTGTGAATGTAATTCTTCCAGAGCAGGTGCTTACTGTGAAACTTTATCTGTGTTAACTAAAAAATATTTGCCAGTGGCAGTAACAAGAAATGTTACATTTGGCTGGGACTGCAATTATGTCTTTGCACATCTACATGCTACTAGCATCCAAATAATTGCATGTGTAGATGTACCCATAAATGTAATGGAAGTAGATATTGCAGTTTCTTACAAAGTTACACTTCAGATATTTACAAATTGAATTTACATAAAATTCGGGTCATATAAATGTTTATGGAAAGCAATATGTACCTTGAGTGGTTATTGTAAATCATTATATATATCAATCACTATTACTACAAATAATGCTTTTGTCAAAATTAAAATGTATTATTTTTGTAATTTTTATTGTAAACTCTTAATAAGGCAGAAAGTGTTAAAGAACAGCTGTTATTTAATTAGCAAGTTCATAAAATATGTGTTCATGAAACTTAACTATATATTAGTTATGCAGTCAATCTAGAAAGGTATACAAATAAAAAAAAAATAATTTATAGTGTATTGATACAAATTTTTAGCATTTTCAAGTGAATTTAAATTTATATTTATGTTTGTATTTTCTTCAAGATTAAGTTAATTGATTTGAAATGTATTTATAAATCTTGTTTATTTATAGTTTAGCATTGAAAATGAAACATGTGCAGTATTTGTTGTATCCACCTCAGGTGATGGTGATCCTCCGCACACAGCAGTCAAATTTTTTAGACGTCTAAGCAGGACTTCATTAAGCCGAAATTATTTAGAAAAGCTAAATTTTACATTGTTAGGTAAGTTTATATCTTTGATGTAATAAATTCGATTTCTATTCCCTAACTAAAAATTTCATATCCTTTACCATAAATTCATCACCATATTATATCCATAAACAGCGAGATTCAGCTTCTTTTAATTCCCCTCCCCATTTGAAAGAGGCTTGTTGCATTTCAAAAATGACACATTTAGAGTCAGACTTCCCTAATTAGAGGGGAAAATTGTCTGTACATGTGTACTGATTTAAATATAGTTAAAGTGTTGCACACAACATTGGTACCACTACTAGGGGAGAAAAATGTGTATTTTATGTGATAATTGAATGAAGTCTTTCACATGTTTTAAAGGCAATCAATTTTAATTTACAACTTCATTTATCTGTCACTTGTTTTTATACACTTATGTAATGAATTTATTTTTCTTTTCTTCTTAATAGATTGTAAAATTCATTGTACAAAATTCTTGATTCATTGTAAAAAAAATTAAATGAATGTGGAGAATAATTCTAGTATGCTGTATTAAATATTGACATTGATTGATATCTTAGCACCCTGCATTATTCAGTAGCTTGTAGGTCCCTGTGTGTGTACAGTATTAATACATTGTAACTGGTTAGTTGAAGAGTATTATTTAGGAAAAGAAAATGATAAAAAAAAAGGTAGGAATGATAGATATATTTCCAACAAAAGTAACCGTTAAGCATCAAAGCACACTGCAGTGCGCTAAAGCATCGATTAATTATCATTTTGTCCTTATCCTTGAAAAGTCTATTAAATACTTCAATAAGGATGTGGTAGACAGTGAAATTTCAGTAAGTATAAAATATATCATGACAGGTTTCCTGAGCTTCTGTAGATATTTTAAAATTTCTGACTTTATTTTTTTTCTTCTTTTTTTTTCAGTGTCTACTGAAAGACAAACAAATCTTGAAATATTATGGATACGTTTATTAAAAATTTTTCTGAGCATCATGTAAATTCCAAACCGAAGATATTTTTTCATAGATTAACTTTTTTCTCCTCTAAAGAGAGTGCTTCATCAATTAAAAGTGTATTTCACAAAAGTATATCTGGCAAAGCTGTCTACTTATAATACAGATTAATACTGTAGAACAACATATGCTCAAAACTGCTTTGCTGAAAATGCAGTATGATCTGGTATAACTGTATTTAAAACAAAACAAATAGTTTGTGTTGAAATATGTTCAAATTCTATTGTTTCTTGCAATAAACAAAGAACAGAAGATGAATTTTTGTATGTGATGGTGATCTCTGCCATATATAACTCTACTAACTAGTCATTTCCTTTGAGTTTCAAAAATTAACTAAGAAAACTTTGATTGAAATAACCTCTTAGTAAATTTGTGTAATTAAACTTTCTAAGGACTCCTATAATTTCTTTGTGATTTTTGAAGTTACTTTTTTTTAAAAAAATCATAACTAGTGATTAAATTTTTTAGCACTTTGGGATTCCAAATACTACACACTTTTAAATTTTTTAGCACTTGGAGATTCCAACTACTACAGATTTTGTCTTTTCGGCCGTTTATTAGAACTTAGATTAAAAGAGTTATCTGCTCAATCTTTTTATCCTATGGGCTTTGGAGATGATGCTTATGGGTAAGCACTTTTTCTAAAATTTTAGTTTGATTTGTAGTAGTACTGTATATATATTAAATGGGGAATGGGAATATGCAATATATTTATATTTAGTGCCAAGTGTTGCAGTGAATACTTTTATGTGCAAAAGATATCTTTGTAATGCAAAATGCTCTTTCTTTTATTAATGAACAGATATCATTTATTAGTCTGATTTGTTTCCTGAAAGGATATATCAGTAGCAAAATGATTGATAATTAATGGTATTTTCTCACAAGGTCATGTAGTGTCCATCTGTCTGATTGAATATTAAGAATTTTAAATTATAGATAAATCTACAACACTTTAAAATGATTAGTGTCCATTCATAAACAAGAATCAAAGTTTTTATTAGAGAATATTTTTCTCAAGATCAGTAATAAAATTTATAAAAAGCAGGTAAGCACTAAAAACCCGTAGAAAGCTTTCTTTCTAGGAAAATATGTAGAAAAGGAAATAAAATTTGTTATAACATGTTCATTGTTTTAAAAAATTTAAGTTATTTCAATAAAGTGTAATTTGTTTCAAAAAATTAATTTATTCCTAAAGCTTAATAGCTTAAAAATAGCCTTAATGATTTTTGTAGCTTATCAAGGTATTATTGTTTTCAGTTAATAATGGTAAAATTTTGTAACTTAAAAAAGAACTGTTGCATGCTGTCAATTTGCAATCCATACCTTATTTCCTTATCTTCAGTGTTTTAAACTATTAGATAAAACTGCATCACTTAACAGTTAAAATGTAATGTTAAAGAAAAAGTGCTAGAATTTTTTTCAATTGTTTTTGAGTTGCATTTAAATTTTATTAAATAGTAAAGATTGCTTTATGAGTTGGCAATAGTACTTTTAGGTAAGAAGAAAAATGAAATGCTTCTATAATATTTTTAATTTTTGTAATATTTTTCATATATTTATGCATAATTTAACAGTAAATTCTTATTTGATCTATTAGATTTCAAACTAGAAAGGACTTGCATTAAATAGTATTTACTCCTAAGCCCAAAACACCCTCTCTGCAAACAGCATGCCATCTCTAGACTAGAGGGACTAGATTAGTCCCCTAATAATTTAGGTAATAACACTTTCAAATAAATTATCTAATATTCAAAAACATTAAAAGGAATATTATTTTACCTCATCTGAGAACACATGCTATTTGGAAATTTTCAAAGTAATTTTGAAGCAAAATTAGTTTAACTTCCAGTGCTACAGTTTAGTTAGTGTTCTTGAAAGTGATATTGTGATATGTGAAAGAATTCAAGGTAAAATATGTTGACTCAGTAATTCTAAGTTTAAAATTTGAAGAGGGAAATGGTAAAACAATTGAATCCTCACAAAAAGGACCATTGCAAAGCATGTGCAAAAAAGTTAGGTAGCATCTTTTTGGCAAGGTGCTGCTCAAATGTATATATCACATTCCTGATCTTATGCCTACCACAACCTATGAGATATTTTCAAAGCAATTATAATCACAAACGGCAGATCTAGTCCATATGTAATTATTTTTGTACATGCATGAAATATTTTACCTGTTATTCCAGAGAGAAATCTGATACAATTTCAAAATGATTCATAATATGCAAATTGAAAAATAATCTGTTTTGCTGACCTTATACTCTTTGTGAGATAGAAATATTTTAAACCAGTTATTTATATTTTATGGCATAATCACTTTGATTTCCACTTTTCATCTGATCTTCAAAAATTCATCTGAGCATCTGAGTTGTAAACATCAGTAATCATATTCAAAATACTGTAAATCCTGTCATGGTTAACCATTTCTGAAAGTAAGCAGTATTTCTGAAAACAATAAGCATTGCCACTTAATTTTATTTTTCTAAGACAAGTATCTCCAGTGGGAGCCAATTTCTCTTAATCATTTGTAGTTTGATTTTTATAAGTTTTGTAATGTGTTTAGACTATTTTGGACATAGTTTGCAGTATTTAACAAAATTATTGATGATCTTCTTAGTAAAACATAAATTTTATTTTTAGTTTACAGAGAATAAATTGAATACAATCTTTTAGTTACAAATGTTTCATACATCTACTAGCTGGCAAAACCTTTAGCATAACAATTTGTAAACATTTCTGACATTGCTCAGCAATGGTTACACGGAACAAATGTAACGTTGCCACTCTAATAACAAGGATAATAAATATAATGATTTGTTAAATAATAAAATATTACAACCTCTTCCCCTTCCAGGGTTCGTTCGGTTCTTAAGAGTCCTTAAAAGTCCTTAAGCTTATTGGAATCGATTTTTGGTCATTAAAAGTCTTTAATTTTGGCCAAAATCGGGGGAAGGTCCTTAATCATGTGAAATTTCTGTCCGTTCTTACGACTGCCATTTTGAGTGGGAATTAGCAGTTTGGAGGTATATTTTTGGTGATTCACAAATAAATAATGTTATTTGAATGGGTTATGGTTTGTTCCTATTTCTAATATAAATGGTGGGATATTCGAGTTTCTGAGTAAGAAGTGAAAACATGTATTTCGAAATTATTTCACTTTTTCTAATGAAGAGCTCTTAACAACTTTTTGCTTCTGCGGATGTCAATTTTTTAATTGAATGGCTCTAAATTTGGCGACTTAGCAACATTTTCGCTATTTTTAAGATCGGTTTCTATAGAAAATTTTAAATTCCAAGATCTGGGAGTTTTCGACGATTTTTTTTAAGCATTCTAACATTGATAAATATCATTAAAATAATGGTAATATATTGAAATTATATTTAAAAAATAACATATTAATTAAAAATATCTCTTTTTAATTTTTTCATGATAAGAGTTTTCTCATGTAATTGTCTCAGAGTATTCAGAATTTTTAGAATATGCACCAGTTTCTCTATAAAATGAATTTCATTTTCTTCGTCTGATTTTTTTTTTTCCAAAATATTCATGGCTTTTTGCTGTTACAAAATTGGTAGGGGAAATTTTTCTTCAGGACATTAGACACTGCAACTTGAAGAAGGATGCAACTTGGAAAGTTAAGAAGGTTTAGTTTGGTTTATTTAATTATGGCAAAGCACACTAAGGCTATCTGCCTAAGGGGAGGGATGCCTTTGTGGAGGACTTTCTAAGGGAAACTGCCTCGTATACACGTTACACATGGGGAAGACCACCAACGTTTAGAAGGATTTGAAGGCAAAATTTATAGACCCCCGATTCCAGAAGATTTTAGAAAAATGTGACAAAATGAAAAATGTCTCTGTGGTATTAACATGTAATGGATGTATCTACAGAAAGTTTGCAATGAATTTGGAGAAATATCTGGGAGAACAATGAAAACATAATATTTGAATGTTTTACTTCTGATACTAGAATCATTTTCTTAACATGCTTATCTTCCCTTTATTTTCTTTACTTTTCACTAGACACAAGTATGGAAAATACTAAAAATGCTTCTAATCTTATCACATGGACAGGCATTATAGAAAGAAATTTTTTGATTAATAAAGAAATTGAAAACTGGCTGTTTAAAAGATTCATATGTCTTAATGTATCATACACAGGTCTGATGCTAGGCATTTTCCCACCTGGTGCAATCACAGGGAATATTAAACTTATCTATGTAGATCCTAAATTTTGCCGACTAGTGCCCTTCTAAATTCTGCTTCCATTGCCTGCTCTAAATTCTGAAAGTTTTGCCATTTGTACATTTTGTTGCTCGGTGTGTCACTAAATTAAAAAAAAATTGTGCTACACCAGCTCTGTAACCAGCCCTTACCATATATATTTCATATTTCTTCTGAATGTTCATATTACTAAAGAAATAAAATTAGCAGCTTTTTCTATGCATTCTAAATGCATTTATTTTTTTTAGAATGACAGATATCTTAATTTAAATTAAAAAATTCTAAAATGAAAAGGAAGTGTGTTGAAGAAAGAAACCGAATACATTCAGAGAAAGAAGATTATTCTTCAAATGTATTGTTACGTTATTTTCTTCATTCATGTTCATATGGGAGTTCGTAGATTAGGAGTGTATAAATACAACACTTGATGAAGTATTAAAACACACTTTATTGGCCAGTAATTTCAGGACAGCTCCAAAGTCACTTTTTACAGTCATCGAAGATCTACTATAAATACTCTGGAACAATTAGCGACACAGCCTTCAGGCTCTCATGGTGAAGACAGCTTCATGGCAAAGCACTAGAGTACAGCTCCTGACTCTCCTCTGTCTTTCTCGAAATTCCACGTACTCTTGACACGCTACAACTTGCGATGCACTCGACGACACACAGAGCACATCTCCCAACTCTTTGGTTCAGTGATTCCCGGAGCTCAACACACTCTCTCGACAATGCACTAACGGCAATACACTAAGTGACTCTTTCGATGCACTTGACCCACTCAGCACTCGCTGGCCGGCTGTTAACTCGATCGTCTCCACATGGACTAACTAGTTGAGACACACTCTGACTCTCCGAACAAAAGCTTTTGGCTTTTGTTAGAGAATATTCTGGGCTAAACCAGTAGGAATTCGATCCAGAAGGTTCTCCATCCGTTTATAGCATATCGCCAATTTTATCGCGAAATGGACAATTTCTCGCCAAATGTTGCAATCTTGCCTTCCTTTGCCATTTTCTGGCAACCCTAAACCTGCTTTGCGGGGAAGCTATCTTTCCGCGCCTGTACATTTCGTAACACAATATACGGGTATTATTATGTAAATTACCCAGTTGTTTATAATTTCAAAGCCTTTACTATAATTTCCCGTTTCTGTTTCCTCCCCAGAATGCAGATCACTTAAGCAGTTTTTAAACTGAAGTTTTTGGTATGTAAGACAGAATGTGTTTTTAATCTCCGCTTGCTCGCTGCATTAGTTCATACCAGCTCTGATAATTTGTAACTTTTTGTCTTTGCATTATTGCTGTTGACATTTGAATTTGTTATGACGATAGAGTTATTGAGCCAATTTAAATTTAAATTAAATTGTACAGTCTTTGTTCACTAGCTCACATTTTTGTGTTTGAA